CCTAACTGCAAGTGTTGGCCTCAGTCATAGCATATATACATGTAACTATTTTAAATTATTAATAAAGATATAAGCAATGCCTCACCTTAATACCAAAAAAAAAATAATAATAATTAACTAGTTTTTTATTAAAAAGAATTAAATTAAATGAAAACAAAAAAAAGAACTTATGTTTATTATTAGACTAATATTCAATTTTTATTCAAGTTCAGATTTTTAATATTAATTTTAAATTTTAACAAACTAAAAAACATTAAATAAAAAACAAAAAAGAAAAAACCAATACTTATTAATAGACTTTTTTCTAGTTCTATCTAAATCTATATCTTAATATTTAATATTAATTTTGTATTCTAATAAAATTCAAATCTAAAAAAAAATAATAGAAATAGTTTTTATTAAAAGAAAATGGTAAATTAAATTAAAAACAAAAAAGATAACTATTACCTACTAATTAACAAATTCTGAGTTTTAACTCAAGTTTAAATATCTATTGTTAATTGCTAATTTTGTGTTTTAATAAAGCTCTGATCTAAAAAAAAAAGAAAAAAAAAGTAGTTACTTAAAAAGAAAAAAAAACTTAAATAAAAAACAAAAAAATAATCAGTACTTATTAATAAATTAGTTTTCAATTTTTAGTCAAGTTAAAATTTCTAATATATAATATCAATTTTGCATTTTAACAAAATCTGATTCTAAAAAAAAAGAATAAGTAGAAAATAAGAAAAAAAACCAATATTTGTAATAAAACAGTTTTTAATATTCACTTAAGATAAAATCTTCATAGTTCAATATTAATTTTATATTTAATATAGAAAAAAACAATTTCTTATTAAAAAAGGCAAAGTCAGTTTAGGTTGCAGATAATGTTGTCTGAGCTTTAATTCTTGCATGTAGTTTTTATTTTATATTTTACAATCTTAGTATATCTTTAATATATAGTATATTAATATGTACAACTAAAATTACTAATAAAGATATGAGCAAGGCCTCACCTTAACACCAAAAAAAAAATTAAAAAAGGCAAAGAATAAAGAAAGAATCTATACAAGTCCAAATCTTTATTGTTAATATTAAGTTCATGTTTTAACAAAACTCAGATCTAAATAAAAAAAATTTGGTTTTTTGTTTAAAAAAAAGAGAATAGAAAACACAAAAAAAACTAGTACTTACCAATAGACTAGTTTTTAGTTTTACTTAAGTTCAAACCTTTATTGTTAATTGCTATTTCACAAAGCTCAAAACTAAAAAAAATTTAGTTGTTATTGAAAAAAAATGAATAATAAATAGAAAACAAGAAAGAGAACTAGTACTTACCAATAAACTAAATTTTAATTTTTATTTAAAACCAAAACTCTATTTTTATTTTGTGTTTAAATGATATAAAGAATCTAATGTAAGTATTTAAGCATTTAATATATTATAAAATCAATAAGTTGGTAAGCTTATCTTCATTTATGCTTTGAGATATTTGATTTTTGATTTAGATGCCTTGTGTTTGAAAATTGATATAATTAATAAATTTGTTATCTTAATAATATAATAAGAAACATGTTTTTCTATATACAAAGTTATAATAATCTTATCTTTGACCATACTTAAAGATATTTAATCACTTAATTCAAGATGTTCTGTATTAGAAATCAATAAATAAATTAACTATAGCTATTAAAATTAATAATATAACAAGAAACATGTTTTACTATATACAAATTGATGACTTACACCTTGGATATGCAGCTCAGAAATATCTATCTTAATACAATTGTTATAAGGCAAAATGGCCTGTAATGCATAGAAGAAGAAAAAAAAGAAAGGTAAAAAAAAAGAAAAGGTAAAAAAACCCCAATTCTTCTCTCTATAAATAGGATTTTTTGTTATAAACTGCTTGTCTGCACACAGGTTTTGATGATTTTTGTAACCACCCTATTTGAATACTATTATTATATTTAAGATTATGTGGAAGAAAAAAAGGTAATCTAAATTTCTTTACCACTTTACAATGAAAGAGGTAATAAAAAAAATTTCACATATTACAAAAAAAAAATTTTTACAAGAAAAATAAAACAGTTTACTAAGTTTTTAATATGTATCATATGTGAGTACGTGTGTATGTACATAAATAACTAGTTTTAGTATGATAAACTTAAGAAACTTGCTTTTTTGCATATTGTGTACAGATAAATTTCCGTAACTATCTTTTGAACTATCAGTTTTCACGTGGGGATACCTATAGCAAAAGCAGAGGATTGACTATATAATGTATAGTTCCATCCCCTGCTTTCTTGTGGTTGTCACACATGCTATTATGTCATAGCATATAAATTTGCATGCTTGATGGTTTAAAGGATAACGATTCACGATATTTTTTTCATCGATCCAACCAATTCACTCCAGACAATAAGATTTTCGAGGTTGTTAAAATAGGATGTGTAACAGGGTGTTACATATACATTTATTCTTTTATATGATCAATGAAACCTATTTCTATTTCTCCTCCAAGAAGTTAACAAATCAATATATATATGAAAATTGAAAAATTCAGTCTATCTTGTATAATTAATAATCAAAATTATAATGTAGATCTTAAATAGATCGAGAATCCTATAAAGCTTTAGTAATAATAATTAAACTCATTGACAGTATCAATGACGTCTATTTTATATTACCAATACGTCTTTTTGGACGCTTACAAGAACGGTACCATCTACCACTATATACATATCTGAATCCCTTTCTCAAATTGATAAGATCACTACAAAATAGACAGCAAAATTATTATTAATCATACTCTAAATCATAGGTGAATTTACGCTAGTAACCCAAGTGGAATTTCCAGTTATTTTACTGGATCTGGCAAGATTATATGCAACTTGATCATTTGCGGATTAGCATAGTAAATAAAAATTTAAAGTATTATGCAGTATTTTAGTTATCTAAACTATAATCGACGAATAAATGACTAAAATTAATATTGTATTGCGGCAAGGAATTGGGACTTTGTTATCATAGGAATTTGTTCATACAAGCGTACTTGGATTATTGAGTTAAATAAATGGTTTAAATGTAATAGATATTCCACGGGCCATTGTGAATATCATGGATTAGCACAGTGAAGACTGGTAATACATGACGTCACGACACAGCGTTGAATATCTAATATATTTCACGGTTGATTGAAATTTTTAATGATGACGTAATGTCCAAGGAATAATAACGTGATCATAAAAATATCATAAGAAATGTTCATGGATGAACATTAGGAGTCGTGGAATATATTAATATATCTCACCTTAGTTATATCTCCAAAAGATTAGAGAAAAAAATGGGGTGATATAACTTTGGCATGGCTGTAAAAACTTTTTAACCAATATTCCTTAAAGACACGTAAATTCATAGGTCTTGTCGGCAATCTATACTGCATTACGGCAACTCGGTCGGGTCACATCTTTAATTAATAATAAAAACGTACCGATTATGTGCAAGACAATCTAAAATATAGCAGAGTTTCCAAGCCGCAATAGTAAAACTATAAAGTCTTACAAGATTAATGGTATTACCCTCTTTAAGTTCAGTTTCCAATTTAAAACACAAGTTGGTTTGACGATCGAATTCATATTTACATATATCATCGTTTATAAATTGAGGTGAAGCAAGGCCTTCAAATTTAGCCCCAAGCCTAAACGGAACTAATAAATCATCACATTTTTCCACATATGCTATAAGCATATATTCTTCAGGGTCTTCTTGATAATAGGGAGAAATAGCGGTATCTTCAATTTGATCGAATAAGAATGTAAAAGTCTTTGTAGAATCGCAATAGGTTGGTGATAATTTTTCAGGCCACTCCGTATTATTCCATTTACCACTCCACTCATCACATGCTAACTAAATCAAGAGCTATTATTTATCAAGTTATTATAAAATTTTATCCCAAAATTAATTTACCTTAAATTTTAAGCCGGAACTTAATTTAGATTTAATAACTTCGTGCGTTACCAAAGGAACCAATGTATTCCACTTTTTGCAAACAGTTCGCAGAGTACAAAATTTCTCAAAACTATTAAATAATAACCTTTAATAAACAAATTTAATTAAGCTAATTTGATCTACAGTACACTATTTTCCTACTTTGTTTCAGTAACAACATATTTCAAGATTTGAATATGTAGCTCATTAGGAAGAGTTTGAATCATTTTGAAATTTTGAAAATGCTGTACACTTCTCTGTGTTTAAATAAACTTGTTCGTATCACAAATTATTTTTGTAGTACGGTCACATCAGCTGTGAGGATTTCGAAGATTGGATGGACCACTGATTACAACTACAGTGTTAAGGTTGGTTACTAATCAAACATTGCGTGTTAGAAACCGCTCGAAAATGTGATGAATCAGCGGGATGAGTTATAAAGAAGAGTATTAACCAGGTAAGGAGAAAAAAAAAGTTGTATAAATGATGCATCCCTAGTGCTTTTGGAAGGATAAGTCTAACGACAAATAGAATGGAAAATAATAGATCTCTTCAAATAGTTATATACTTAATGTAGAGAATAATTTGGGAAATGTCATTTATCTCCTGATTTTTTTACGTCATTTTTCAGTCTATTTTCAAACAAAGGTGTTGAAAATTTTGAAATTTTAATTAAATTAACGCCTATAGGAATTGTTTATTGTTCAGTGTTATTATGTAGTGTGAGCCCGATTTTTGGGGTCACGGGTGCCCGAATCGGGGTGACGATCCTTACCCGATCCAAGGTCACGCGA